CAGGCTAGAGAGTCAGACTGAGCGGGGGAGAGCGACGTGAGGAGGCGCCGCTCGATAGCGTTGACATGAGCGACGGCGAGAACCATGCACACACGTCGCACAGGTGTTGGCCATAAACCACCATCGTCGTGATAGTGTGGCGGTAGCAACAGTCACGCGTCGGCGCCACGTTGCGTCGCACTGCGGCAGCATCAAAGCTTCTGAAACCCTCGGCTTTCCTCCGCGTCTCGTGACACATAAATGCTGTTGATACACAGACTCAGGCAGGTAGGCAGGCAGGCAGGCAGACAGGCAGGTAGGCAGAGAGATAAACAAGACCAACAGGCAGCAGACCCGCCTACAGGCTCGCAGCAATATGACGCGGCACGGAACCGCCACGAAACTGCCATCGCACGATACGTATGCACACCAAGTGTCGCGGAAAGACGCACACCAAAAATACACAAGGAAGACAAGACAACACGCAGGCACCTTCCGAAGGTGGTTCGTGGGGTTCTTGAGCCAGGGATGTCTGAGCAGCTCCACCGACGATTTTCGCATCTGGACAGATGACAAAGAAAACAACCACACACACACAGACCAGTCAACATTTCAGTGGGTCGGGGAGGGGCGGGGACTGAACATGCGAGGGAATATCTGCGTGTTCGTTGCTCAAGGGTTTCGCTTCACGGCGGACGGCCTCTTCGCGACTCACCTTGATGAGAGCGTGAAGCTGCAGCAACCAAGGATTGAGTGTGTTTTACCACAACCATAAGCAGCGACAAAAGTGCTTGCGCGTGCTAGGTCAATGCTCTAACGACTACGGCATGCACGGCCATGAGTACACACTCACCCCCTTCCCCCTTGGTCAAAATGCGTATCAGCTAAGGCACGTATCACTATATGCTGCTCGGGGAATCGTAGAAACACAGGTAGCACCCCGCGAACGCTTGAGTATATAACCAATTTTTCCTAGACCCTTTTCCATTATTAGAGATGCATTTATTGCGTTATGTTAAGAAAACAATCATGAGCATACTCCCCACCGAGAACAACGCAATGCGCAGCACCGTGGGCTCCTTCCACGCCCACCCACCTGGGCCTGCTTCTTGAAGCACTGCAGCAAGAAATCCCGCAGGGCCTGTGACGTGCCGTCCGGCAGGGGGGGGTGGTCGTCCTGGACGATCTTGTATAGGGCCGTCATCTGATTTCCCATTTGTTTGTTTGTTTGTTTGTTTGATGGAATGTATATTCCGGCCGAATCACGGTGGTGGTCGACCGTTCCCGCGGTAAATGATGTGTAACAACAGCCGAGAGAGAGACAGACAGACAGACAGAGTGGCATGAGGCGAGAGGGGGAGTTTGCCCGCCAACGGCGCAATGACCATGGAGCTTTGCGTCAGCGTGACGAGAGGGTACTTGGACTGGAGCAAGCCGCCAACCAGGCTGACGCGCGAGGGCAGGGTTGCTTTTCGCACGAGGCAAAGGGTGGATGTCTTGGCAGTTCCAGCAGGTTTAGTAGTCCGAAGCGTTTCATCATCTGCTGCACTTTGCGCGCATACATGCGCATACAAAGTGGAGGAGTACACAGGCGTAAGAGAGACAATATATTACGGTGGCTAGTGGGCCGCAAGCCCGACTACCGAGTGGTACCAGAGCACAATGACGCGTGGCTTTGGCAAAAACACAAAACTTATATCTGTTCAAAACAAAGGCATGCAACTTGGCCTTCGTAACTCTATCTTACCTGGGGGAGGTCGAAGTAGGGGGGTTTCCCTTCCAGGAGCTCGATGATGGTGCACCCTACAGACCAGACGTCGCACGCGGTCGTGGTGCCCGTCATCTCGATGATCTCCGGTGCCATCCAGTAAGGCGTGCCCACCTTTTTTTGGTTAAATATTATGGAAGTGAAGTTAGAAACATTTTAGGAAATTTACACCCAATCAAAGAGAGACTGTTGTACCCGTTTAAGATGAAACCACAGCAGTCAAAGGGGATGAGTGCTAAAGGCAGTGGAGTTATCTTGTTGTTTTTGTGGTGGTTTGGTCGATATGCCACTGCCAAGGATGACGTCACGCCGAGGGCTATGTATCCGCAAAGGTCGAAAAGCACTTGATCCCGTCATGCATTTGTACAAGTATGATTTGACGACGATGATCACGACAGCACCAACTACTTTTGCGAACCCGCCCTCGTTCCTACCGATCCAGCCTTCGAGATGCCGGCAAAATCACTCCTTCCCGCCCCTGCCCTACTTTTACCCCGATTTTGCAGGCAACAAATCTCGCTCACTGAGAGAAAGAGGAGTAGTTTTCGAAGGCAAACACAACCACCGACGTAGGGCCAAGGCCAACATGACAAGAATATTCCCAATCACCGTCCCCGCACCAGCCGGCCAGCTACCCAACTACGCCGACGTTAACATCCACAGACAGGTAGAGAGAGCGCGCGCGATAGAGAGAGAGAGGCGCACACAGAGAGACACACACAACCTCCATTGCGAGATCCATTCTAAAAACGAGCGCCGCTAGCAGCAACACCCCCGCCCGACCACACGCGCAACCCACCACATCGACGTCAAACGCCTGCTTGTCCGAGAGCTTCATGGCGACGCCGAAGTCGGCCAGCTTCACCAGTCCGCGTTTGGTCGTGAGGATGTTGGCGCCCTTAATGTCTCGGTGCAGCACCCCTTGGTCGTGCAGGTACTTGAGCCCCTCCAGCACCTGGGTCATGTAGATCGCCGTGAGCGACTCGGAGAAGTTTCCGAACTTCTTGCACATGGCGGACAAGGAACTCTCCATGATTCTGCGAACCCCCCCCGCGGTGCCCCACACATGCACACGTTCCCCGAGAGACGTAGGTAGGTAGGCGGGCGCGGGTGGAACGTCCGCGCGGGGGGCGGGGGGGGGGGGAG